GGCGCTATCATGAGGGTAGTGTAGGGGAGAAAGTGGTGATAGTGAAGGCTTGCACGTGACTCATGTTGAGTAGGGGAATGTTACAGGGCAGTCGGCGTCCGCCCAAGTGACACTCTGAAGAAATAGTGGCAGTTGTGCAGACCCCCAGGCGGGTTGTATCAAGTATGAAATAGTTGCTGCTTGCCCCGTAGAGTTTTTCAACCCAGCCTTGTCACCCGACCTTGTCACCCGACCTTGTCACCCGGCTTTGTCACCCGACCTTGTCACCCAGCTTTGTCACCCGGCTTTGTCACCCGGCTTTGTCACCCGACCTTGTCACCCGACCTTGTCACCCGGCTTTGTCACCCGACCTTGTCACCCAGCTTTGTCACCCGGCTTTGTCACCCGGCTTTGTCACCCGACCTTGTCACCGGCTTTGTCACACGGCTTTGTCACCCGACCTTGTCACCCGACCTTGTCACCCGGCTTTGTCACCCGACCTTGTCACCCGGCTTTGTCACCCGACCTTGTCACCCGGCTTTGTCACCCGACCTTGTCACCCGACCTTGTCACCCGACCTTGTCACCCGGCTTTGTCACCCGACCTTGTCACCCGGCTTTGTCACCCGACCTTGTCACCCGGCTTTGTCACCCGACCTTGTCACCCGACCTTGTCACCCGACCTTGTCACCCAGCTTTGTCACCCGACCTTGTCACCGGCTTTGTCACCCGGCTTTGTCACCCGACCTTGTCACCCGACCTTGTCACCCGACCTTGTCACCCGGCTTTGTCACCCGACCTTGTCACCGGCTTTGTCACACGGCTTTGTCACCCGACCTTGTCACCGGCTTTGTCACCCGACCTTGTCACCCGGCTTTGTCACCCGGCTTTGTCACCCGACCTTGTCACCGGCTTTGTCACCCGACCTTGTCACCGGCTTTGTCACCCGACCTTGTCACCGGCTTTGTCACCCGACCTTGTCACCGGCTTTGTCACCCGACCTTGTCACCCGGCTTTGTCACCCGACCTTGTCACCGGCTATGTCACCCGACCTTGTCACCGGCTTTGTCACCCGACCTTGTCACCGGCTTTGTCACCCGACCTTGTCACCCAGCTTTGTCACCCGGCTTTGTCACCCGGCTTTGTCACCCGGCCTTGTCACCCGACCTTGTCACCCGGCCTTGTCACCCGGCTTTGTCACCCGGCTTTGTCACCCGGCTTTGTCACCCAGCTTTGTCACCCAGCTTTGTCACCCAGCTTTGTCACCCGACCTTGTCACCGGCTTTGTCACCCGACCTTGTCACCCGGCTTTGTCACCCGACCTTGTCACCGGCTTTGTCACCCGGCTTTGTCACCCGGCTTTGTCACCCGGCTTTGTCACCCGGCTTTGTCACCCGACCTTGTCACCCAGCTTTGTCACCCGACCTTGTCACCGGCTTTGTCACCCGGCTTTGTCACCCGACCTTGTCACCCAGCTTTGTCACCCGACCTTGTCACCCGGCTTTGTCACCCGACCTTGTCACCCGGCTTTGTCACCCGACCTTGTCACCCGGCTTTGTCACCCGACCTTGTCACCCGACCTTGTCACCCGGCTTTGTCACCCGACCTTGTCACCCGCTTTGTCACCCGACCTTGTCACCGACCTTGTCACCCGGCTTTGTCACCCGGCTTTGTCACCCGACCTTGTCACCCGGCTTGTCACCCGACCTTGTCACCCGGCTTTGTCACCCGACCTTGTCACCCGACCTTGTCACCCGACCTTGTCACCGGCTTTGTCACCCGACCTTGTCACCCGGCCTTGTCACCGGCTTTGTCACCCGACCTTGTCACCCGGCCTTGTCACCGGCTTTGTCACCCGACCTTGTCACCCGGCTTGTCACACGGCTTTGTCACCCGACCTTGTCACCCGGCCTTGTCACCCGGCTTTGTCACTCGGCTTTGTCACCCGACCTTGTCACCCGGAATTGTCACCCGGAATTGTCACCCGGCTTTGTCACTCGGCTTTGTCACCCGACCTTGTCACCCGGCCTTGTCACCCGGCTTTGTCACCCGACCTTGTCACCCGGCTTTGTCACCCGACCTTGTCACCCGACCTTGTCACCCGGCTTTGTCACCCGACCTTGTCACCGGCTTTGTCACCCGGTTTTGTCACCCGGTCTTGTCACCGGGCCTTGTCACCCAGCCTTGTCACCCGACCTTGTCACCCAGCCTTGTCACCCGACCTTGTCACCCGGCCTTGTCACCCAGCCTTGTCACCCGACCTTGTCACCCAGCCTTGTCACGCAGCCTTGTCACCCGACCTTGTCACCCGACCTTGTCACCCAGCTTTGTCACCCGACCTTGTCACCCGACCTTGTCAACCGGCCTTGACACTAACTATAAATTAGGTATTGTCAGCAGTTGCTGCTCACTACAGTTAAATTGAACGAGAGAATGTATTTCCTGTCTACTCTATACAATACTGTAGTCTCACTGTATGGCCAACCCGCCCTCTTGGTACGTCGTATTTCTGACGGAATGGATCACTCCGTTCGAAATGCGGCGTTTTATTACCAATTAAAGCAGTCACATTAACTTTTTCTACACACGGGCATCGATAGGTTGGGTGGGGTGTTTGGGTGCGTACTTTTTTTGTTAAACAGTTCTATTTTTGACGGAGTGGCGAATTGAGAGAATGGGGACGGGGTGTGTGTGTGTGTGTGGGGGGGTGAGGAAGGATGTTAGGGGGGCGTGGGGGGGGGCACAAACTAATGTAGAAAACACTGGTCACTGTGTCCCCGTGTGTGTACATCTTACCGCAGCAATGACACACACACCCACACCCACATGTGGTGGAGGCTGACTCCATACACAGTTTTAAATGTAGATATAATAGAGCCCAATAGGCTCAGGAACCTGTACACCAGTTGATTGATGGTTGAGAGGCGGGACCAAAGAGCCAGAGCTCAACCCCCGCAAACACAACTAGCAGAGTACACACACACACACAGATTACCAACAAGCGCGTGGCACCGTGCCTCAGGAAAAGCTGGTATGATGAAGCAGGACAACTGCGAAAGCACTGAAGCGGATTGAAGGACCAAGCACTGACCCACAGTAAGAGAGGAGGTTACCAGCTGGGAGATGTAGCAAGCAGGGTCCCGCATGGCTCACTCCTGGCACCGCTACTCTTCTTAGTTTATGTGAAGGCCCTGATCAACCAAGCTGTTGTTCATATGTCAGGCTGCGAGCAGCCTTGTCCAACAACCTAGATGACCAGTCCAGCAACCAGGAGGCCTGGTCGACGACCGGGCCGTGGGGATGCTGAGCCCAGAAATCATGGCAAGGTAACCCCGCAAGGTAAGGTGACCTACGAGAGGGAGTGAGCTCCTTGTATCACTGTTCTTCCCACAGTAGATACTGTATCTACATCCTGGGTGTAAGTGGAACAAAAATATCTCACCTATGGGATATTCATGCCCATGCCACCACGTGCTTAATCTTCATCAATCAATCCAAACTCTACATCAATAGCACCTGGAGCACCTAACTAACAGATTGACAAATGACTGTTTAATGTGTTATCTCCAGCAAGAAGATATCAGTTGTGTAACCTTCTGATTGGACCAGAGGGTGAGTTTTAGACACGTTCTAGACGTGAGAGCTCTGCCTTGGACAACATTCCTTACACACCGTCTCCAGTACCAGTCATGAGTACTTCATTTCTTGGCCAGTTGTAGCATTATAGTTATTACAAGTGGTGTTCATCGTTATTCACGTTTATTACAAGTGGTGTTCATCGTTATTCACGTTTATCACAAGTGGTGTTCATCGTTATTCACGTTTATCACAAGTGGTGTTCATCGTTATTCACGTTTATCACAAGTGGTGTTCATCGTTATTCACGTTTATCACAAGTGGTGTTCATCGTTATTCACGTTTATCACAAGTGGTGTTCATCGTTATTCACGTTTATCACACAATCAGGTTATCAAATAACAAATTAACAGTGAGCAAATTAACGGGTAGATGAAAATAGAACTTTGTTCTTTTCAAATGAGAGGAAAACTAACTTTCACTTAACTAGTAAAGAAGAGGTGTGTGTGTGGGGCCAGAGAAGGCAACGCTCCTTGCTACTAACGAGCGAACCATCACTACACATATCACTACACATATCACTACACATATCACTACACATATCACTACACATATCACTACACATATCACTACACATATTACTTCACATATCACTACACATATCACTACACATATCACTACACATATCACTACACATATCACTACACATATCACTACACATCACTTCACATATCACTTCACATATCACTACACATATCACTTCACATATCACTACACATATCACTACACATATCACTACACATATCACTACACATATCACTACACATATCACTACACATATCACTACACATATCACTACACATATCACTACACATATTACTTCACATATCACTACACATATCACTACACATATCACTACACATATCACTACACATATCACTACACATATTACTACACATATTACTTCACATATCACTACACATATCACTACACATATCACTACACATCACTACACATATCACTACACATATCACTACACATATCACTACACATATCACTACACATCACTACACATATTACTTCACATATTACTACACATATTACTACACATATCACTACACATCACTACACATATCACTACACATATCACTACACATATCACTACACATATCACTACACATATTACTTCACATATCACTACACATATCACTACACATATCACTACACATATCACTACACATATTACTACACATATCACTACACATATCACTACACATATCACTACACATATTACTTCACATATCACTACACATATCACTACACATATCACTACACATATTACTACACATATTACTTCACATATCATATCACTACACATATCACTACACATATCACTACACATATCACTACACATATCACTACACATATCACTACACATATCACTACACATATCACTACACATATCACTACACATATTACTTCACATATTACTTCACATATCACTACACATATCACTACACATATCACTACACATATTACTTCACATATTACTTCACATATTACTTCACATATCACTACACATCACTACACATATCACTACACATATTACTACACATCACTACACATATCACTACACATATCACTACACATATTACTTCACATATCACTACACATATCACTACACATATCACTACACATATTACTTCACATATCACTACACATATTACTTCACATATCACTACACATATTACTTCACATATCACTACACATATTACTTCACATATCACTACACATATCACTACACATATTACTACACATATCACTACACATATCACTACACATATTACTTCACATATCACTACACATATTACTTCACATATCACTACACATATTACTTCACATATCACTACACATATTACTTCACATATCACTACACATATTACTTCACATATCACTACACATATTACTTCACATATCACTACACATCACTACACATATTACTTCACATATCACTACACATAAAGTAAATATTCAAGAGGCAAATTACGATAAAAAAATGAATTAGAAGTTATTGAAAAGCTGGTTAGTAATTACAAGTTGTGTAATGGGTCTTGATGAAGCTGTCTTGTACTTGATGAAGCTGTCTTGTACTTGATGAAGCTGTCTTGTACTTGATGAAGCTGTCTTGTACTTGATGAAGCTGTCTTGTACTTGATGAAGCTGTCTTGTACTTGATGAAGCTGTCTTGTACTTGATGAAGCTGTCTTGTACTTGGTGAAGCTGTCTTGTACTTGATGAAGCTGTCTTGTACTTGATGAAGCTGTCTTGTACTTGGTGAAGCTGTCTTGTACTTGATGAAGCTGTCTTGTACTTGATGAAGCTGTCTTGTACTTGATGAAGCTGTCTTGTACTTGGTGAAGCTGTCTTGTACTTGGTGAAGCTGTCTTGTACTTGACGCTGTCTTCTACTTGATGAAGCTGTCTTGTACTTGATGAAGCTGTCTTGTACTTGATGAAGCTGTCTTGTACTTGATGAAGATGTCGTGTACTTGATGAAGCTGTCTTGTACTTGCTGAAGCTGTCTTGTACTTGATGAAGATGTCATGTACTTGATGAAGCTGTCTTGTACTTGATGAAGCTGTCTTGTACTTGATGAAGCTGTCTTGTACTTGCTGAAGCTGTCTTGTACTTGCTGAAGCTGTCTTGTACTTGCTGAAGCTGTCTTGTACTTGATGAAGCTGTCTTGTACTTGCTGAAGCTGTCTTGTACTTGATGAAGATGTCATGTACTTGATGAAGCTGTCTTGTACTTGATGAAGCTGTCTTGTACTTGCTGCAGCTGTCTTGTACTTGCTGAAGCTGTCTTGTACTTGATGAAGATGTCTTGTACTTGATGACGCTGTCTTGTACTTGATGACGCTGTCTTGTACTTGCTGAAGCTGTCTTGTACTTGCTGAAGCTGTCTTGTACTTGATGAAGCTGTCTTGTACTTGATGAAGCTGTCTTGTACTTGGTGAAGCTGTCTTGTACTTGATGAAGCTGTCTTGTACTTGATGAAGCTGTCTTGTACTTGATGAAGCTGTCTTGTACTTGATGAAGCTGTCTTGTACTTGGTGAAGCTGTCTTGTACTTGATGAAGCTGTCTTGTACTTGATGAAGATGTCGTGTACTTGATGAAGCTGTCTTGTACTTGCTGAAGCTGTCTTGTACTTGATGAAGATGTCATGTACTTGATGAAGCTGTCTTGTACTTGATGAAGCTGTCTTGTACTTGATGAAGCTGTCTTGTACTTGCTGAAGCTGTCTTGTACTTGCTGAAGCTGTCTTGTACTTGCTGAAGCTGTCTTGTACTTGATGAAGATGTCTTGTACTTGATGACGCTGTCTTGTACTTGCTGAAGCTGTCTTGTACTTGATGAAGCTGTCGGGTACTTGATGAAGCTGTCTTGTACTTGAACACTTGTACTTCCATATATAGGAAGCCATTGTCTGTCAGTGGCAATGGAGTGCCAGAATTTCTTCAGCTGGAAATAATTGATTTATATATAAATTATATATATTATAATTATAAGATGATAATTCTTGAAAGAAAAGTTTTCAGACGTTGATGAGACCAAATTATCTCAAGATCAAGTATTTTAGTTCACCGATTATTTCCATTTTTATAAATATCAATAAATCTCAGCTTTTCAACTGCTGCAGACCCGGGCTCTATACCCACTCCACCCACGTGACTATGGGAGGGGCTGGACCCCCGCTCAGCCTACCCCCAGGTCAAGTGTGACATGGGAGCCAGTGTATCTAGGACCATGGTTGACCTGGTAACTATGTAGGTGGCCGCCTGGTGGAGTCATTCGTGTTAGTGTGGCTCAGGCCCACACCGTCGCCAGGGTTTGTGTCGGTGACGCGATTGATTGTGTCAGCCCTGTGGAAGTGTGTTGAACAGTCTCGGGCCTCTGATGTTGATAGTTCTCTCTTGAACACTGTGAGGGGTCGGCCAGTTATGTCCCTTATGTGTAGTGGAAGTGTGTTGAACAGTCTCGGACCTCTGATGTTGATAGTTCTCTCTTGAACACTGTGAGGGGTCGGCCAGTTATGTCCCTTATGTGTAGTGGAAGCGTGTTGAACAGTCTCGGGCCTCTGATGTTGATAGTTCTCTCTTGAACACTGTGAGGGGTCGGCCAGTTATGCCCCTTATGTGTAGTGGAAGCGTGTTGAACAGTCTCGGGCCTCTGATGTTGATAGTTCTCTCTTGAACACTGTGAGGGGTCGGCCAGTTATGTCCCTTATGTGTAGTGGAAGCGTGTTGAACAGTCTCGGGCCTCTGATGTTGATAGTTCTCTCTTGAACACTGTGAGGGGTCGGCCAGTTATGTCCCTTATGTGTAGTGGAAGCGTGTTCAACAGTCTCGGGCCTCTGATGTTGATAGTTCTCTCTTGAACACTGTGAGGGGTCGGCCAGTTATGTCCCTTATGTGTAGTGGAAGTGTGTTGAACAGTCTCGGGCCTCTGATGTTGATAGTTCTCTCTTGAACGCTGTGAGGGGTCGGCCAGTTATGTCCCTTAATCGGATGTAGACTAGAATGATATTATTATGGTAGATAAATACAATAAGTCCATATTCCGTTACCTCAATGTTTCCCAATAACCAACCAGTTACATGTGAATCAATATTTGAATTTGAATTTGAATACAGGGAGGTACTACTTGGTTGGGCGGAGGACTACTGGGTAACCTGCGGTCTACTGGCCGCCATTGACGCCTCTCGCTACACATAATAATCGTATACAGATTTATACATGTGTATCACCCAGTACACATAACTGGGTGTGTAGGTGTGTGTGGATGTATAAGATATGTAAGGATGCGTGTAGGAGCGGGTAGGAGGGTGATACCCGCATGGGTTCTCCTCTAACGGCGGGTGTCATGGCTGCCACCCGCCCTGCCGGCAACCCAACACCCGCGCTGTAATCCCTGGGGACCTGGGGCCAGCACGCCCTCAACCCCCCAGCACGCCCTCAACCCGTAGCACGCCCTCAACCCGTAGCACGCCCTCAACCCGTAGCACGCCCTCAACCCGTAGCACGCCCTCAACCCGTAGCACGCCCTCAACCTGTAGCACGCCCTCAACCCGTAGCACGCCCTCAACCCGTAGCACGCCCTCAACCCGTAGCACGCCCTCAACCCGTAGCACGCCCTCAACCCGTAGCACGCCCTCAACCCGTAGCACGCCCTCAACCCGTAGCACGCCCTCAACCCGTAGCACGCCCTCAACCCGTAGCACGCCCTCAACCTGTAGCACGCCCTCAACCTGTAGCACGCCCTCAACCTGTAGCACGCCCTCAACCTGTAGCACGCCCTCAACCTGTAGCACGCCCTCAACCCGTAGCACGCCCTCAACCCGTAGCACGCCCTCAACCTGTAGCACGCCCTCAACCTGTAGCACGCCCTCAACCTGTAGCACGCCCTCAACCTGTAGCACGCCCTCAACCCGTAACACGCCCTCAACCCGTAGCACGCCCTCAACCCGTAGCACGCCCTCAGTCCCCAGCACGCCCCCAACCCGTAGCACGCCCTCAACCCGTAGCACGCCCTCAACCCGTAGCACGCCCTCAACCCGTAGCACGCCCTCAACCTGTAGCACGCCCTCAACCTGTAGCACGCCCTCAACTCGTAGCACGCCCTCAACCCGTAGCACGCCCTCAACCCGTAGCACGCCCTCAACCCCCAGCATGCCCCCAACCTGTAGCACGCCCTCAACCTGTAGCACGCCCTCAACCCCCCAGCACGCCCCCAACCTGTAGCACGCCCCCAACCTGTAGCACGCCCTCAACCTGTAGCACGCCCTCAACCTGTAGCACGCCCTCAACCCGTAGCACGCCCTCAACCCGTAGCACGCCCTCAACCCGTAGCACGCCCTCAACCCGTAGCACGCCCTCAACCTGTAGCACGCCCTCAACCTGTAGCACGCCCTCAACCTGTAGCACGCCCTCAACCTGTAGCACGCCCTCAACCTGTAGCACGCCCTCAACCTGTAGCACGCCCTCAACCCGTAGCACGCCCTCAACCCGTAGCACGCCCTCAACCCGTAGCACGCCCTCAACCCCCAGCACGCCCCCAACCTGTAGCACGCCCTCAACCTGTAGCACGCCCTCAACCCCCCAGCACGCCCCCAACCTGTAGCACGCCCTCAACCTGTAGCACGCCCTCAACCTGTAGCACGCCCTCAACCTGTAGCACGCCCTCAACCTGTAGCACGCCCTCAACCTGTAGCACGCCCTCAACCCGTAGCACGCCCTCAACCCGTAGCACGACCTCAACCCGTAGCACGCCCTCAACCCCCAGCACGCCCCAACCCGTAACCTGTAGCACGCCCTCAACCTGTAGCACGCCCTCAACCCCCCAGCACGCCCCCAACCTGTAGCACGCCCTCAACCTGTAGCACGCCCTCAACTTGTAGCACGCCCCCAACCTGTAGCACGCCCTCAACCTGTAGCACGCCCTCAACCCGTAGCACGCCCTCAACCTGTAGCACGCCCTCAACCCCCCAGCACGCCCTCAATCCCCCAGCACGTCCCCAACCTGTAGCACGCCCTCAACCTGTAGCACGCCCTCAACCCGTAGCACGCCCTCAACCCGTAGCACGCCCTCAACCCCCAGCACGCCCCCAACCTGTAGCACGCCCTCAACCTGTAGCACGCCCTCAACCCCCAGCACGCCCCCAACCTGTAGCACGCCCTTAACCTGTAGCACGCCCTCAACCTGTAGCACGCCCTCAACCTGTAGCACGCCCTCAACCTGTAGCACGCCCTCAACCTGTAGCACGCCCTCAACCCGTAGCACGCCCTCAACCTGTAGCACGCCCTCAACCTGTAGCACGCCCTCAACCTGTAGCACGCCCTCAACCTGTAGCACGCCCTCAACCTGTAGCACGCCCTCAACCCGTAGCACGCCCTCAACCCGTAGCACGCCCTCAACCCGTAGCACGCCCTCAACCCGTAGCACGCCCTCAACCCGTAACACGCCCTCAACCCGTAACACGCCCTCAACCCGTAGCACGCCCTCAACCCGTAGCACGCCCTCAACCTGTAGCACGCCCTCAACCCGTAGCACGCCCTCAACCCATAGCACGCCCCCAACCCGTAGCACGCCCTCAACCCGTAGCACGCCCTCAACCTGTAGCACGCCCTCAACCCGTAGCACGCCCCCAACCCGTAGCACGCCCTCAACCCGTAGCACGCCCTCAACCTGTAGCACGCCCCCAACCCGTAGCACGCCCTCAACCTGTAGCACGCCCTCAACCCGTAGCACGCCCTCAACCCGTAGCACGCCCTCAACCCGTAGCACGCCCTCAACCCGTAACACGCCCTCAACCCGTAGCACGCCCTCAACCCGTAGCACGCCCTCAACCTGTAGCACGCCCTCAACCCGTAGCACGCCCTCAACCCATAGCACGCCCCCAACCCGTAGCACGCCCTCAACCTGTAGCACGCCCTCAACCTGTAGCACGCCCTCAACCTGTAGCACGCCCTCAACCTGTAGCACGCCCTCAACCCGTAGCACGCCCCCAACCCGTAGCACGCCCTCAACCCGTAGCACGCCCTCAACCTGTAGCACGCCCCCAACCCGTAGCACGCCCTCAACCTGTAGCACGCCCCCAACCTGTAGCACGCCCCAACCCGTAGCACGCCCTCAACCTGTAGCACGCCCTCAACCTGTAGCACGCCCTCAACCCGTAGCACGCCCTCAACCTGTAGCACGCCCTCAACCTGTAGCACGCCCTCAACCTGTAGCACGCCCCCAACCCGTAGCACGCCCCCAACCCGTAGCACGCCCTCAACCTGTAGCACGCCCTCAACCTGTAGCACGCCCACAACCTGTAGCACGCCCTCAACCTGTAGCACGCCCTCAACCTGTAGCCCGCCCTCAACCCGTAGCACGCCCTCAACCCGTAGCACGCCCTCAACCCCCAGCACGCCCCCAACCTGTAGCACGCCCTCAACCTGTAGCACGCCCTCAACCTGTAGCACGCCCTCAACCTGTAGCACGCCCTCAACCCGTAGCACGCCCTCAACCCGTAGCACGCCCTCAGTCCCCAGCACGCCCCCAACCCGTAGCACGCCCTCAACCTGTAGCACGCCCTCAACCTGTAGCATGCCCTCAACCTGTAGCACGCCCTCAACCTGTAGCACGCCCTCAACCCGTAGCACGCCCTCAACCCGTAGCACGCCCTCAACCCGTAGCACGCCCTCAACCCCCAGCACGCCCTCAACCCCCAGCACGCCCCCAACCTGTAGCACGCCCTCAACCTGTAGCACGCCCTCAACCTGTAGCACGCCCTCAACCTGTAATACGCCCTCAACCTGTAGCACGCCCTCAACCTGTAGCACGCCCTCAACCCGTAGCACGCCCTCAACCTGTAACACGCCCTCAACCCGTAGCACGAACTCAACCCGTAGCACGCCCTCAACCCGTAGCACGCCCTCAACCCGTAGCACGCCCTCAACCCGTAGCACGCCCTCAACCCGTAGCACGCCCTCAACCCGTAGCACGCCCTCAACCCGTAGCACGCCCTCAACCCGTAGCACGCCCTCAACCCGTAGCACGCCCTCAACCCGTAGCACGCCCTCAACCCGTAGCACGCCCTCAACCCGTAGCACGCCCTCAACCCGTAGCACGCCCTCAACCCGTAGCACGCCCTCAACCCGTAGCACGCCCTCAACCCGTAGCACGCCCTCAACCCGTAGCACGCCCTCAACCCCCAGCACGCCCCCAACCTGTAGCACGCCCTCAACCCGTAGCACGCCCTCAACCCGTAGCACGCCCTCAACCCGTAGCACGCCCTCAACCTGTAGCACGCCCTCAACCCGTAGCACGCCCTCAACCTGTAGCACGCCCTCAACCTGTAGCACGCCCTCAACCTGTAGCACGCCCTCAACCTGTAGCACGCCCTCAACCCGTAGCACGCCCTCAACCCGTAGCACGCCCTCAACCCGTAGCACGCCCTCAACCCGTAGTACGCCCTCAACCTTTAGCACGCCCTCAACCTGTAGCACGCCCTCAACCTGTAGCACGCCCTCAACCTGTAGCACGCCCTCAACCTGTAGCACGCCCTCAACCCGTAGCACGCCCTCAACCCGTAGCACGCCCTCAACCCGTAGCACGCCCTCAACCCGTAGCACGCCCTCAACCCGTAGCACGCCCTCAACCCGTAGCACGCCCTCAACCCGTAGCACGCCCTCAACCCGTAGCACGCCCTCAACCCGTAGCACGCCCTCAACCCGTAGCACGCCCTCAACCTGTAGCACGCTCTCAACCTGTAGCACGCCCTCAACCCGTAGCACGCCCTCAACCTGTAGCACGCCCTCAACCCGTAGCACGCCCTCAACCCCCCAGCACGCCCTCAACCTGTAGCACGCCCTCACCCTTGGTTAACTTGGACATAGATATTTCGTGACTGTTCAAAAGACATTTGTAGCCGAGGCTATTTCCCCAACCTCCCGACAGCACTTGGTGGTAAGCTTGGCCATAGATATTTCATCAAATCCCCTCACTTTGAGGCCACGTGAGCAACACAAATACGAACAAACTTCAGTGGTCCCCAAGCCAATATGCAACTGAAAACTCCACACCCCACAAGGATTCGAACCCGGCTAAGAATGCGCCAAAGGGCGATTCAGGTAAGCTTACGAAGATTTTTAAGTAGTTCACTTAGATTTCGCTAGATGTCACTAGGGTTTTAGTTTGGCCAATCAGAGAGAAGGTAACATTTTTCACCTTACAGCTGTAGCCAATCACGGATATCGGAGCTTATCCCTGACCACTTGCGACTTATTTACCTCGAATTTTCTTATAAAATTAATATATTTTGAAGTAAAAGAATGTTTTTTCAACTTGTAAAGTCAGCAGCGACATTGTTGTAAACAAATGTTACATTTTTTGTTTACCTACGTTATTCTGAGAGTGTATAGCTGCCCTTGTCGCTCTCAAGACTTGAGAAGCCGTGGTGTTTATTTACGTACATATTTACCTCAATTTACCCAAGAGCCACTAACTATCTAGTGGCCTGGACGAGGCCGCCAGATAGTGCTCCCACCAGCCACCTTCTCTCATATTTCATGTTCACCACTGTTTATTTACTTAATAACTACTGTTATAATATCTTAGTTAACACGAAGGACGTCTCTTCACGAAACTCTCCCGCTAAAATGTTTGGTTTATTATAAAATCAATCCTCCGTGTTGTGTAGTTGAGAAAAATTGTGTTATATCCAGTTTACGTAAAGCTACGAGTGGTCGAGAGCACTCTTAGCCGACGGAGACTACGAAGATTTTCCTTCTTATATGAATACCTGAATACTGACGTATTACCCCCCCACACAGGTGTGGAGCCCCTCCCCCCCCCACAGGTGTGGAGCCCCTCCCTCCCCCCCCACACAGGTGGGGAGCGCCGCCCCCCCTCCCAAAGTAAGCCTAACAGCGTCACTGAGCCATTAAGTTAATGGCGACTCTAATGTATAGAATGTAACATAATCTTGTATAGTAATATAATTGTTTTTATTTTGTGTTTTCAGGCGCGTATAAGGGCGTGGAGGCGCCAGGTCTGGACCCAAGTTACGCCCATGGTCAGCTGTCCTGCCACGCCCACCCTTCAAGCCACGCCCACTCATCCTGCCACGCCCACTCCTCAAGCCACGCCCACTCATCCTGCCACGCCCACGACGCTTTCTTTGACGTATCTGGCTACGCCCACAGGCAGTTTTCCTGGCAGACACGCTGTCATTCATCGACCCAGTCCCACACCCAGCCACCCAGCCACGCCCACAGTCAGTCCTCTAACCACGCCCACAGTCAGGTGTCCAGCCACGCCCACACCCACGTGATTAACGATGAACCAAGTCAGGTGTGTGAGGACGACAACCACACCTCCATGAACGAGGCGACAGTGGCTATTACAGGTGAGTGGGGGGGGGGCTGCATGTACTCACCTAGTTGTACTCACCTAGTTGTGTCTGCAGGATCGAGCATTGACTCTTGGATCCCGCCTTTCGAGCATCGGTTGTTTACAGCAATGACTCCTGTCCCATTTCCCTATCATATCTGGTTTTAAAATTATGAATAGTATTTGCTTCCACAACCTGTTCCTGAAGTGCATTCCATTTTCCCACTACTCTCACGCTAAAAGAAAACTTCCTAACATCTCTGTGACTCATCTGAGTTTCAAGCTTCCATCCATGTCCTCTCGTTCTGTTACTATTCCGTGTGAACATTTCGTCTATGTCCACTCTGTCAATCCCTCTGAGTATCTTATACGTTCCTATCATGTCCCCCCTCTCCCTTCTTCTTTCTAGTGTCGTAAGGCACAGTTCCCTCAGGCGCTCCTCATACCCCATCCCTCGTAGCTCTGGGACGAGTCTCGTTGCAAACCTCTGAACCTTTTCCAGTTTCATTATATGCTTCTTCAGATGGGGACTCCATGATGAGGCGGCATACTCTAAGACTGGCCTTACGTAGGCAGTGTAAAGCGCCCTAAATGCCTCCTTACTTAGGTTTCTGAATGATGTTCTAACTTTTGCCAGTGTAGAGTACGCTGCTGTCGTTATCCTATTAATATGTGCCTCAGGAGATAGATTAGGTGTTACGTCCACCCCCAGGTCTCTTTCACGCGTCGTTACAGGTAGGCTGTTCCCCTTCATTGTGTACTGTCCCTTTGGTCTCCTATCTCCTAGTCCCATTTCCATAACTTTACATTTGCTCGTGTTGAATTCTAGTAGCCATTTCTCTGACCATCTCTGCAATCTGTTCAGGTCCTCTTGGAGGATCCTGCAATCCTCATCTGTCACAACTCTTCTCATCAACTTTGCATCATCCGCAAACATCGACATGTAGGACTCTACGCCTGTAAACATGTCGTTAACATATACAAGAAATAGAATTGGTCCCAGCACCGATCCTTGTGGTACTCCACTTGTTACTGTTCGCCAGTCCGACTTCTCGCCCCTTACCGTAACTCTTTGGCTCCTTCCTGTTAGGTAGTTCCTTATCCATGCTAGGACCTTTCACCCCACCCCCGCCTGCCTCTCGAGCTTGAACAGCAGTCTCATGTGCGGTACTGTATCAAAGGCTTTTTGGCAGTCCAGAAATATGCAGTCTACCCAACCATCTCTGTCCTGTCTTATCCTCGTTATTTTATCATAGAATTCCAGAAGGTTTGTTAGGCACGATTTCCCTGTCCAGAACCCATGTTGATGTTTGTTCACAAACCTAATGTTCTCCAGGTGTGCAACCAGTCGTAGCCTAATTATTCTTTCCAGTATTTTACAGGGGATGCTTGTCAGTGATACAGGTCTATAGTTAAGTGCCTCCTCCCTATCGCCTTTCTTGAAGATCGGCACGACATTTGCCTTCTTCCAGCAACTGGGCAATTCTCCTGACATAAGTGACTCATTAAAGATCATTGCCAGAGGCACGCTGAGGGCCTGTGCTGCTTCTTTTAGTATCCACGGTGATACTTTGTCTGGTCCAACTGCTTTAGTTGCATCTAGAGTTGTCAACTGTTTCATTACCACCTCTGCTGTCACCTCTATATCTGATAGTCTTTCATCTAGGGTAACCCCTTCCAACAATGGGAGCTGCTCAGGCTCGGTAGTGAACACTCCATGGAAACTGGCATTCAGTGCCTCGCAGATTTCCTTGTCACTTTCAGTATATGCCCCCTCTGTCTTCCTTAGTCTTGTCACTTGGTCGTTCACCGACATTTTTCTTCTTATATGACTGTGTAGTAACTTAGGTTGTTTTTTCGCTTTGATTGCAATATCGTTCTCATAGTCCCTTTCCGATGTTCGTCTTATGTTAATGTAATCGTTCCTAGCTCTGTTGTATCTGCTTCTGTTGTCCTCTGTTCTTTGTCTTCTGTACTTCCTCCACTCCCGCCTGCTGGCCATTTTTGCTTCCTGACACTGTCTATTAAACCATGGGTTATTATATTCCTTCTTATTTTTTCCCTTTACCGTTGGTATAAATCTCTCTTCGGCCTCCTGGCATTTCTGTATGACTAGGTCCATCATATCTTGGACTGTTTTTCCTCTAATTTCTTCCTCCCACTGCACTTCATCCAGATAGTCCCTTATCCTCATATAGTCCCCTTTCCTGTAGTCAACTCTCCTTTCCCAGATCTCTTGTCCCATGGTCATAAGTTTGAATTCCATCATGTAGTCAAAGACTAGGACACAATGGTCACTGGCCCCTAGAGGTATTTCATGCTCTAAATTCTCGATATCTTCTACGTTCTGGGTGAAAATCAGATCTAATAGGCTAGGTGCATCTCCTCCTCTTTCCCTTGTGTCTTCCTTCACATGTTGTGTTAGGAAATTCCTGTCTATAACATCTACTAATTTTGCTCCCCACGTTTCGTCCCCTCCATGGGGATTCCTTGATTCCCAATTTATCTCTTTCCATGATTTAGGTCCCCCATGATCAGCAGCTTCGCTCTCATTCTGTGGGCTAGTGTTGCTGCCTTCTACAGTTCATCTATACATGCCTTGTTGTTGTCATTAATTCTCCTGCCTGGGTCTTCTACTCTTTGGTGGGGGATTGTAGATTACCAAGATCACAATCTTCCTCCATCTACTGTCAGAGTTCCATGTATGAAGCTTGTGCACTCATTGGTAACTCGATTTCCCAGGTCTTCAAACTTCCATTTCCACTTTATTAGGAGTGCTACTCCCCCCTCCCTGTCTCTGTGTCCTCTCTTTTCGTATCACCTGGTACCCTTCAGGAAAGATTGCATCTGAGATCATGTCATTAATTTTAGTTTCCACAATTGCAACTATCTCAGGATCTGCTTCACTCACTCTTTCTTTTATCTCTTCTGCTTTATTAGATACCCCATCAGCATTGGTGTACCAAACCTTGAGATTCTTCATGGAAACTCTTGTACCAGAGTTCTCCCTTTCTCTGGGGGTCTGGGGGGATCTGGGGGATGTCTGGGGGTGACTGGGGGCAGGGGGGATCTGGGGGGTGTCTGGGGGATGACTGGGGGCGGGGAGGGTCCGGGGGATGTCTGGGGGGATCCGGGGGGTGTCTGGGGGGGTCCGGGGGGTGTATGGGGGGTGTATGGGGGGTGAAAGAGTTCAGGAGGGGTGCTTGGGGGGCTACTGGGGGCTGGGCTTCTAGGAAGGTAGGTAGGAGGGTCTGGGGTAGGCCTGGGTAGGTAGGTCTGGAGTAGGAAGGGCATACTGGGTCTGAAGATTAGGGAGGGCATAGAGGGGTTGGGAGATAGCGTAAGGTTGGGAGTCAGATAGAGGTTGAGAGGTTGGGAGGGGGAAGGATAGAGGGGGTGGGGGGAACCTCCCACCTCCCTCGCAAGGGTGGGGGGTCACATGGAAGGAGAGGGGATGAGGAGGGGTGAGGGCTGGGTAGGCTTTGGGTGTTGAGGGGATGATGTGTGGGGGAGGGGCTGCAGGTGTGGGGAAGGGCGCCTGCAGGTGTGGGGGAGGGGCTGCAGGTGTGGGGGAGGGGGCTGCAGGTGTGGGGGAAGGGCTGCAGGTGTGGGGGAGGGGCTGCTGGTGTGGGGGAGGGGCTGCTGGTGTGGGGGAGGGCGCCTGCAGGTATAGGGAGGGGTTGCAGATGTAGGAGAGGGGCTGCAGGTGTGGGGGAGGGCTGCAGGTGTGGGGGAGGGGCTGCTGGTGTGGGGGAGGGCGCCTGCAGGTATAGGGGAGGGGTTGCAGATGTAGGAGAGGGGCTGCAGGTGTGGGGGAGGGGCTGCAGGTGTGGGGGAGGGGCTGCTGGTGCGGGGGAGGGCGCCTGCAGGTATAGGGGAGGGGTTGCAGATGTAGGAGAGGGGCTG